CTCTGAGGCACTTGTAAAGAAGTGAATTCTTTCTCATTTGTGGTGTCCATGTAAGTCAGATAGTAAAATGCTAGTGTGACAAGTAAGAGATGCAAATTCTGAGTAAGACCACTGAGACAGGGCGTGATGTTTTCCTCAAAACTGGCCACTGCCTTAGATTTGGGAGAGGAAATCTATGTGAACTGCTTGCTCTGTTGGCATGATGGGTTTTGCTCTCAGCATGGAACAGGTCTAAGGGCAACAATCAGCTCGATGTACACTAAGAAGAATGTGTTTGCCTTACATTGACTCCTGCTTTAGGGAGGGTCTTGATTCTGGTACTCTTTATTAAAAATGTATTTTCCTAAGAAGCTTTTTTTCTTATTACAAAAACGATAGCAATATTAACATTTTATAGGTACTCTTTTTTTTTTTTTTGGCAAAGAACTTAAAGGAATTCACAATAGGAACAGCAAGAATCATCATTTTGCCTCCTCCCCATATTCTCTCCCAAAATAAAAAACACTTTTCCCACTCCTTTTATAAAGCTGCTGGCATTAAAAAAAGAACTAGGAGAGGATCCTTTAATGATAACTACCAAGCACCAAATACATTACTGTTTTACATCTGGAGTTTTAGAAAAGAAATGTACAAATGTAATCCAGCCTTGTAAAGTGCTTTGTCAACATCACTTCCATGCTGTTCTTGAGATGCCTTGGTATAATAGAATTTGTACAGGCAATTTATCTTCGGCTTGCCATTTTTGTGTGTGGGTCTGTAGCCTAAATACGGGGACACTTTACCTCTCTGCTGATGATGTTCTTTCCCCCCAGCTGGTAACCCAGAGGTTACTTAGACCATTTTTGATTCCCCCTTGCCTGCTTTACCCCTTTATTTAGTAGAAATAGGCACTGAATCAGGGCTAAATATTCTGGTGTAGTTTGCTCAGCATTTGAAAGCATATCAGCTAATAACCCCAGAAATAGCCTCCACAGAGCATTTTTCGTTGGTTAAAAATTTGCAGGCAAGAATGGGTAAGACACAGATGTTTTTTCTGAGGCTTCTTATCTCCTAAAAAGACACAGGTTATTCCGACAGGTGAAACAAGTCTGGGCAAATATGCAACATTGATCTAATCAACAGGACCAAGACCATTTTCACTGGTGCTGCCTTTTACTAGCGTCATTAAAGGCTCCCATTACTCTTCTATTAGAGATTCCCTCTCTTCCTTATCAGATTACAGAATGAACATAACTCATGGCAGTGATTTGATCTCTTGTTAAAGAGGATTACAGCTTTGCATTAGCTCGGATTGACACAGTATATAATTCGCTGTTGATACTCAGGCAGGCAGCATCAACATGTTTGACCCCCCAGCACTGCTGAGGGGAAAGGACCCACATATATCATCATTAAAGATGGCGTCTAGCACAGATATAGGAAGCATGGAGCCTTCCTCCTCCAGTAATGTCAGAAAGGACAATGGAAACATTCTCAAGTTCAAACCTGAGACTTAGGCCAGGGTTTTATAACTGGGTTGAAAAGAAACACTGCTATTGTTTCTTCTGTTTTTACTGATTCACTACTGTTCAGTCTCATACAATTCTAGAAAATTTGCATTCTTAAATTGAAGCCTTGGCTCCAAGCAGGATGTAGAGTGATAAAAGCACATCTTCTAGAAAGAGATTGGAAATGTTGAACAGATAAATCTTTCCTCAAAATGGGGCTTCTTGACTATAGTTCTCATTTCCTCAAATTCCTATGATTTCTTCAGAGGATTATGAATCCTTTTATTCCCCCAAAGGGATATATCACATTCCTTAAACTGAGTGTAAATGTTTTTTTAAGGACTTACAGTTTTTAAGTTTTTATATTTTATTATTATTGTCTTTTAAAATATATCTTATATTGTATTAATCACAATTAGATAACTTGCTAGTGGGTAGACAACAGCTACATGTCTTTCACATTAATTTAGATTAGTCATTTATTCATCTTAATACATTTCCT